TCCCTTTGTTTAGGCAACGTTTTTGGCTATACTTACCCTAGTTTTTTCTACATAATTATATTTCCCTTCAATGGACCCAATGGACTAAATCTTATCATACAATTCATCCACACCATCAACTTCGGTAACTGATGCTTTGTTTTGACTGTAACCCAAGATATGTCTAAATATGCTACTTCCTCCTATCCATATTAATTGACGTTGGTTTAGCATAAAGTCGGTAATATGGAATTATGGATGGGAGGGAGTATATTTTTCCTTGATGCAAAACTTGTGCGCCAAAGTTCATGGACCCAAATTGACGGTGACATGAACGCACAGATCCAGATTTGGTCCTGAATTTAGGGGGAAGCGATGCGAAAGTAGTAAATCAGCCAATTACCGCGCAGTGCGCACGATGCCTTCCTCGAGATGGATTGTTGGAGCATGCACCTGCCGGCCGAGGACTCTCTGTCCGGCCTGTACGACGACTCGACGAGCTCGCCTGACGGCGCCACCTCGCGGCCGACGAAGGTCACCAGCTTGGAGAGGAGGAAGATAATCAACGAGAGACACCGGCGCAGGAGGCTCAACGAGAAGCTATACGCCATCCGCCGTGTCGTTCCAAACATCACCAAGGTACAGATCGTCAGCACGAGAGGAGCACTTGCCAACACGTTCTACATATGCTGCATGCATGTTTAATTTGATTTTGTCCGTGCGCCAGGCGTTAGATGGACAAGGCGTCCATCATCCAGGACGCCATCGCCTACATCGAGGAGCGGCGGATTCTCGCCGCCCTACAGCTGCGCAGCCACGGTCATGGCGGAGGCCGCCGCCTCGACCGGCAGCGAGGAGCTGGACGTTGGCGTCACTACCCCAAACAGACTTTTTCGTGACGGCCAGACACGTTGGTGACGGCCGCGATACCTCCTTCAGGAATGTGTACGTGTTCCTGACGTGGATGGTCAACCGAGGCGAAAGATGGTTACGTTCCTGACGCTCTCGGCAATAACCTTCAGGAATGACAACAACCTTCAGGAACGCAGTTGCACATTCGCGAATCACTTTGCACACCTTCAGGAACGTCTATGTGACCGTCAGGAAGATACCTATGGGGGACCCAGAGATATTTTCTCTTCTGAGGCGCGTGATATTTTCGTTTTGAGAGTGAAATGCGCGCTGAAATTTCGTTCCCAGGGTGTTTTTCGCTCTCAACTGGAGGGCTCGGTCAAAATACCTAAAACACGATCCACTTTTCCCCATCGAGATACTCCTCCCACTCCCACGATGACCGCCACCTCCCCCATCCAGCGCCGCCACCTCCCCCGTCCAGCACCGCCACTTCCCCCGTACCGGCCGTCCAGTTCCGATCGGCCGCCTCCCTCGCCGTCGAGCGCCGCCCCCCTCGCCGTCGAGCGCCACTCCGACTCGCCGGCGACTTCCAGATCCGCCTCCCTCCCCGTGCAGAGGTGACTCCCTGCCCGTCCAGGCCCTCTTTCTCATCTTCCGTACCCAATCTGGCTGTTGTGTCAAATAGTTTAGATGTGCTGCAGAGCTACAAAAAAATATATTTCATTCTTAATTTTGAATATGTAACTTTTGTGCATTTTATGTCGATACAAAGAACTTCTATATGTTGAAGAAAATGCTATTTAAGATTGAAAATTAGTTTTCAAATCTGTGTACAGTGGTACATTTTGCCTTTTTAGTTAACAATTTCATTTTGTACTTAAACGATGTTGATTGAGTAATCTTGTAGTACTTGTGATAAATTCGCTATGTTTCTGGAGTGGCTCATGATCATTTATTCAGACCAAAAGCGTGTTGGTAAGTTGCATTCAGTTTCATTTGACCTCTCAGTATGGCTAGTTTGTTGAAAAAACATGTTCCCTTATGTAGGGAAAGATGTATGGCCCTGCAGACTGAGTTAGAAATTATGCTTCTACGTAATATGGTGGATTATGGATCACTAATGTAATTTGTGTTCTCAGATCTGTAACTATGGAAGGATGACCATGGGGAGGGGGTCAAGTAACTATGGAAGGATGACCATGGGGAGGGATTGCTCCTTGTAAGCAGCAAGGTACACAATGCTTTCTTTGTCCATATATTGTTATCATGTGTCAACTCTTCTGTGGGTAACCATATGTGCACATGTTCAATAAATCATGCTTGGTGTGTTTGGCGGCATCCTTGTCCATATATTGCTATCCCTAACCACCTGAGAACAGAATAGAAGATGTCTTTCATGTATATTTTGACTAACCACCTGAGAATGATTATTTGTTCTCATACATGTTTTCTTTCCTTGTAGATAATTGATAGAACATTTATTCATTTAGTATTCAGAGCCTTTTTGCAGCACAATTTAAACTTTCTACCTCCTCCAACGACGATGCTGCTCTTCCCCAACGACAGCTTGCTGCTGAACTCTGTCAACACCCGCTGCTGATCGTCTCTTGCATCTACATGTTGCTGTTCTTCTCCATCTTCAAAGCCACGTCTTAGACTGCTGCAACACCAAGCTCCAGAAGCCAAATTTATGTTCTGTACTCCATTATTTCACCTCTTCCCTCGCTGATTTCTTGAACCCCTTGCTTGTTCAGTTAGTGAGATGTGTGTTCCTGTATGCTGCCAATTGAGATGATCTAGTTCTAGTTTTATCACCTTAGTATTTCAATTATTTGCTCGTTTGCATGACTGAAGATCTGATGCTATGTTAGATTTAAATTTCTTGTTCAACTTCAGAGAAAATATTAGTGTCCTATTGATTGTGTTCCAGCATGAACTCGTTCTGAACCTCACCTACTGCTGTTTTATTCTATTTTGAGTTTTCTCCGAGTTTTGAGTGTGGGTTGTTTGTGAGAAGAGCATCTTCTCTTATGTAGGAAAAGCAGAATGGCCTATGGCAGCAACAAAGATGAACACTTGCAAGTTCATGAAGTTGGAAGTTTGCAAATATGGTTGAGAGTGGAGATTGTGGCCCCATCAATAATGTAATGTTCAAAAGTGTCTTGTAAGTTCCTGCACCTTTGCTCTGTATTCAAAACTACAACAAATGTTAATCTAAAATGTAACATGTTTGTTTTTCAATAAATTGTTTGTTCCATGATGATCAGTACAGTTGAATTATAATGATGGCATCCTTTGCATTTCTCTTGAACTTGTGTACACAAACATAGAAGTAGAATAGCAAAAGGTTGTCAGTGCATTAGCTTCACCCTGCTGCTCCAATAACACTTATACTACACGATGTATATTCCTCTAAACTTGCATTTATGAGTATGTCCCCAGTTATTATAATTTTCTTCACGAATACAGCTTCTGAGTAGAAGTCGTTGTAGGTACTTGGGGCCACCGTTCTCCTCACCAGACCCTTGGGTGGGCGAAGGCCCTCAAGCACCTCCACTTGAACTTCTGGTAAGTCTGTAAGGAACCACCCCAGGACAGTTCCAGTCATATTAGTCTTTTCTTATCAGCTAGCTTTGCATCGCCCGCCTCCTTCTTGTTTTTAACATTTTCAAGATGATGAATATTCGGATTGCCTTGCAGCTTGTTTAGGCTCTCCAACTGTTTTAGCTCATGCCCATGTTCCATCCTTACTTGAAATACAGCAAGTTCTTGTAGTGATGTTAAACTGCTGATGTTCGGAACTTGCATTGCAAAGCTATAAATATGCCGCTTACTGCTAGTTTTCTACATGTAGTGCTAGTTCTGTACATGCAGTTTAGTGTTTGGCATACTTAGATTTTTCCTATGAAGTGATGATTTTGTTTGCTATCACGTAAAGTTATGAAGGGGGTTGGTCATCACAAAATTTCATTTGCCATGAATACTATGGATATAGGGCATTGGATTGCAACCATTTAATTTTTCTTCCCTTTTCTTTTCTTTTGTTCATTATGTTCCGGTTACATTTTCATAATTGCAGCCTGTACTTGGCAATAAGAGAAGTCTTCTTCACTTGCTTGGTGGCAGTTTTGAAAACCTGTATGTATCACAGTTTTGCAACCTCTTTGAAAACCTGTATGTATCACAGTTTTGCCTTTCACCGTTGTTCATTTAAATCTCCTATATTCTTCTGGTGTATAGGTGAATGGAACCTTCCAAGCCCAAGGGAATGCTGATACTTCGTTGGCAGAATGTTCCCATGATGAAGACCATCCTCATGCTACTCATGCGGATGAGCATAGTTCTATTCCAACACAGGACAAACATTTAGGAATTCCAGTAGTATAACTAGTGGTTAATATTGTGAACTACAGTGCAGGTAGGGTTTCTTTGTCAATTGCTTCTCCTGGCAATTTAGGAATCAACTAGTATGCGTGTTTTGACTTGGTGACACCTCCTGTTAAGTTGAGCTTCCATGAATCATGACTTGGATATGAATGTGTGGATCTTGTGAACAATGAGATTTAAATAAATTGGATGGGTACATTGTGGCCTAGGAATTTGTTGTGATTTTAAACCGGGTCGTGTGACCTTTGTGTATGCATGATTGTGAAAAGATTTGCATGTGGCTGTGAATATATATATATATATATATATATATATATATATATATATATATATATATATATATATATATATATATATATACTGCTTTCCAATAATATTTTTAGTTTGTCTTGGTTGATTCCTGACGACCATTTTCATACTTTGCTGACGAAGCTAGCCGTCATGGATATATGTTGAGCTCATTCCTGAAGGTATGGTCCTGAGTGCCACTAGCTGAAGATGTTCCTGACGGCCAGTTTTCTGACGGCATCTCCTAACGGTGGGGCCGTCAGGAATTTGAGTTCGGGCGGCTAGGGGCTCCCCTCAGGAATCGCCGTCAGGAACACTATTCGTGACGGGGACCGTCAGGAACAAGAATCTTTCCTGACAAGCTGTTTCTGACGGGAAATTCCTGACGGTAGGGGCTCATTCCTGACAATATCTATTCATTCCTGACGGATTTTGGCCGTCAGGAAAAAGTCAGTTTGGGGTAGTGCGTGGGATCCTTGCCGCCGAAGAAGATGAGGAGGACTACCTCCGCCTCCTCCATAAACGGCGCCATCTGTTCCCCTGCAACGAATCCCGTCAAAATCCTCGAGGTAATCATTCACATGTGACATGTTGCTCAGTGCAGCCTCCCATGTGAAAGGAAGTTAGATCCAAATGAAGTGAGGGAGATAGGTGTGCCTGCACCTCGGCAAATAAGAATATTCCACAGTAACTAACACACACAATTATTTTAACCAACTGATAATAACATTACATAACTCATTCACAAATCATGTTACTTCAACCATCATCCAAACCGGTTGAATGTAGCCTGAGCCACAGTCTCTACCAAAAGCCACGGGAGGTCATGCTTCCACATGTTGTAGGAAACTGGACATATATATGGGTATTGCTGGTAGCTAACTTGCAGAAAATTGGAACGTTTGTCCTGTTAAAAATACAACCATTTCGGCATTTCGACCGCCCACTAGACAACACACTAGAGAAGTGTGGGAAACGACCATGATAGAAATAAGTGGTGAATTGTTTTCTCCTTGTCACAAAAGCAACACACCTTTGTCCAAGCAATGCATAAAAATCTTTTCAACGGGAGCTTGACTTGCAAGTGTATTTATTGAGGAGAGGGTGACTAGTAGTATTAATGAGGTCCACGTACATGGTTTAAGGGAAAAGACACCTAAAGTGCGTAGGCAAACTCCTTATTGCGGGGG